TTTAGGAGTGGGGTTCAGTCATCGAGAGTAGTGGGCCACCACGTAAGAAGTGCTCGGGCGTTAACGCTAGCAGATCAGTATGATCCAGCGACATAGGGGAAAGCGGCCTTGAATTTCACACAGCCTCAATTCGAATAAGGAGCGTGGTAAATTCTTCAAAGGTAAACTTGCGATTTCCTGCTACCTTTGTAAAATGGGTTTTGAAGCCTGCCTTTTACAGCAGCTTCCCAGAGACCACCCATATTAGGAGCGTACGGTGGGATAAACTGCTATGAGAATCCGTGGGCTGCGTATTTTTCGGCGATATCAGTAGCCTCTTCTTTAAGAAACTGGCTGGGTAAACGCTGCCTTGAACGCTTTAGTGGTCAGATTTGAGCATAACTCTAAGTGTACTGTTTTGGTGGAGAAGCACACAATTACAAACACATACGGCTTTGCGTGAGGAGCTCGTCGGAGGGTAGAAGTTTTTACAAGAAATGGTCCAGCAAAGTCAACACCTGTGGTATGAAAAGGGACTGTGTAGGTGGATCGTTCAGGAGGGAGCGCGGCCATGATCTGTGAACGCATCTATTGTTTATAGATTGTGCAGACCTTACACTGAAAGATGCATTTTTTTATCTTTTGTTTCAACCTTGGGATATAATATTCTTGCTGCACCATTCGAATCATTAGTTGTTTGTCAGAGTGGCGAAGAGTTGTATGGAGGAAATCGAGCAGTAGAGCACAGAGCTGTGAGTTTTCTAAGAAAATGATGGGGTGGCGCTCATTATAACTAAGCGCTGCATAAGTTAATCGACCGTTCACCCGTATGATCCCTGATCTATCCAGCATCGGGTTCAATGTAAGCAGAGTGCTTTTTTGCTAATGGGTCTAGATGCGATAAGTTATGGAATCTCATCTGCGTAGTACATAAGCTGAGTTTGAGCGATGATACGTTTTTTTGCTTCGGTTATTTCGTCATGGGTCAAAGTAAGTGAAGCCGGAATCGCGCGTTTTTGCGATTTGTTGACGAATCGATAAATGAACGCCATTACTCGCAAGGCGCGGGAGAAGGAGAAACAGTCCAGAATATCGAAGTGCTCGACCGAATGGAGCGATTCAATACGTCGTTGTTCGGGAGGGGAGGAGTGCGGAGAGGGTATTTTTGGCCACATTGTGGGGGGATTTCGTAGCCACTCCGGGCCTTTCCACCATAAATAGCACGTAGCAAGGTCATGGGGTTGACATCCGCGTGTACCAAGATCAGCTGGATTATCTCCACTCGAGACAGGTAGTACTGCTCACATTTTGCAGGATGAGGGAAATTCGGTTGGCGACGTAAGTTTTCCATGTATGTGGTGGTTTTTCCAACCATGCCAACACAATGGATGAATCGGACCAGAGATATAGGTCATGACTCACTAATTTCGAGAGCAGCACTGCTCCACATAGATCGAGCCTAGCTAAGCTTACCGTTTGCAGAGGGGCCACTTTACTTTTTGCTGCGAGCAGATGTGACGAGAAGTTTTCGTCATGTTGCACTCGGAGGTAGACGCAAACGCAATACGCCTTTTCGGAGGCATCTGAGAATCCGTGCATCTGAACAGTTTGCGTTGAGAGAAATGCACCCAACGGGGAATGATAATCTTATTAATCGCGGGGAGATTTTCGCGCAGCGTACTCCATTTGTAATAAGCGCCGGGTTTTACATGCTCGTCCCATTCGGTTCCTTCCATCCATAGTTGCTGCAGAAGCATTTTTGCGGAAATCATTATTGGCGTTAGCCATCCTGCCGGGTCGAACAGTTTCGCTACCACCGATAATATTTGTCGCTTTGTCCTTGAGTTAGCCGCGGGTAGAGGATCGTATGTGTAGGAGAAGGAATCCATTCCATTCCATTTTATACCTAGGGTCTTTGTAGTGCTGTCCTGAAACTGGAGAAAATCAACATCAAGGACCTCGAAATCTAGGACTGATTCCATGATTTTTAGGTGATTTGAGGTGATTTTTCGTAGTGGGAAGCCTGCAGATTTTAGGGCGTCTTTAACTTGGGTTAATGAGCTTATAGTTGACTATATATTGTGCCCGCCTGAGAGAATATCGTCCACGTATATTTCACGTAGGAGGATATTGTTGGCGAGCGGGAATTCGTCTTGATAATCCTGCGCTAACTGATGAAGCGTACGGATTGCAAGATAGGGAGCACATTGGGGGACGTACGAAAGACGATTTTTGGAAGTCTTGATCTTCCTTCACCACGGTGAACGAGCATCTAGCCACAATCCGCATCAAAACGAGATTCTTCAGCATCTCGTTAATCTGTGCCGATGCCCCGATGGAAGAGAAGGACAAGCCATCCAAGGATCTTTTCTATGAACGCTTGGCGCTCACATACGAGCGCTGGCCCGCCATGATATAAAAATCGTGCTGGCGACTTCAATGCCAGGATGGGCAAGGAAGGGATCTTTGAAACCAACGTCGGAAAATTCAGCCTCCACGACGAAACGTCCGACTGAGGCTGATCGACTTCGCCGGATACCGAAATATGGTAGTATGCAGTTGTAGGTTCAAGCATAAAATGATCCATCAAGCTACGTGGTTGTCTCCAGATCGAAAAACGAGAAACCAAATCGATCATGTTGTGATAAGCTTAACGTCGAAAAGCTGCTATCACAACAGACGGCCAATACATTCGCTACTCGACTTTCACACCTGCTCTCAGAGAGCACTCTTCAACAATCCGACATATGCGAGTAGTGGAACCACATTTCCCGTTCATTACGTACCGCCCGAAAGAACAACTGGTACGATGAGGAGTGTTAGGAAGCTGCAGAGAAAAAATATACCGCCTATAGGGCCACGCTGCGGTCGGGCGCAACGCGAGCCATGGGGGACCGTTACAGGGAGCTGAAGAGGGAATGGAGAGGTATTTGCCGCATTAAGAGAAAGGCCAAAAAACGTGAGTGCGAAGAGATTGAAATGCTGGCCGACAGGGAAAACGCCCGAAAATTTTACCAGAGTTAGGCGACTTACGGAAGGCCAGGGCGAACGAACTCTTGTAAGGACAACAATGGCGACCTTGTAACTGATGCCCAGAACATGCTTAAATTATGGAGGGTACACTTTTCCACCCTACTGAATGGCAACAACTCTGAAATCAGTGGAGAAGATGACCCGACCCCCCAGTCGATGATGACGGAGTCGATGTTCCACCACCTGACCATGACGAGGTACGAATAGCAATAGTGCGCTTGAAAACCCGCTAAGCTGCTGGAGGTGACAGCCTGCCAGCTGAGCTATTTAAGTACGGCGGCGAGCAGAATGTGGTCAAATGAAAGCATGCCCGGCGACTGGAATTTAAGTATGCTCTGCCCAATGTACAAGAAAGGCGACACCGCCATTCGCGCCAACTACAGCGGGATCAGCCTTATCGAGCGTATTGTGTGAAGGTTGCAGCCCACCGTCATCGAACTGATTGGGCCTTATCAGTGCGTCTTCAGAGTGACCAGGTATTCATAATACGCCAAATCTTGGAAAAGACCCGCGAGAAAAGGATCGACACTCACCACCTATTTGTCGACTTCAAAGCCGCTTTCGACAGCACTAAAAGGAAACTGGAAACTGATTAGGCTGTGTAAAATGACGTTGAGCAATACCACCAGCTCCGTCAGAATTGGGAAAGACCTCTCCGAGCCGAGAAGATAATAAGAGCTGTAGAACTGAACCGCTCAGGAACAATTTAATACAAGAGCGAGCAGTTGCTGGCTTATGCCGATGACATCGACATCAATGGTAACAAAAACCCCTTTTTACTTTTTTTTCCTTTTTGCCTTTTGCCTAAGACTAAGTGGAAAAAGACTTGGCATTTCCAATTGGTGTCAGTTGGCATAGAAGAGAAACGACTGGCGTGATTTGTTGAACTCGGCCAAAATCGCTTAGGCGGTTACAGCGCCAAATAAGAAAACTTAGAAGACGAAAAAGAGAGTAAATAAGGTTCTCTATGTGTCAAAAGTTAGCAGTTTTAGTCCGATAATTTTTTGCTGGTAAATGTGTCAAACGATCAGCTGTAGTGTGTTTGACCACCAAATTGTAAACAAAAGAAAAGTGCTCTCTGCTAATGCATGTTGAAAATTTTTTATTACTTGTTTAAGTAGATTTTAATGAATTTTGAAGTATTTTTGTTTATTTACATGTGTGAGCTGAGTGTGTTTACATATAAAATTAGCAAAAATTTACAACAAAACTTATGTTGAAGTTGCCAGAAGTTATCATTTTTACTAGAAAGGGATCCCGCACTTTTCAGTGTTACTCTCTCGCTCTGAGCGAATTTTTATTTTTTGACAGTATTAGACCTAATGAGAGTCGGAGTATAAGAACTTTTATTACGCTCTTCTTACCTTTCATGCTGCCAAGCCGGGTCCTATGTGCAAAAGGCTCCTGGGAGCCACTTCGCCCATCTCCGCTATAAACAGTCAGTTTTCACACAATTTAAAATGTAGATGTGTATTTGAAATTGTCAGGAAAAATTTGTTGCTAGGTTCATGTTGCCAACATGTTACAAGCTTTTTCACAGCGTGAACAGAGCAAGAATGATAGAATACAAGATTGCACCGATCAGAGAGGATTTTTGAGAATAACTTTTGTGTGACGTCACACTGGCGCAATTGCGAGAGAGAAATGCCAAAACGTGAGCAAGAATGGAAGAAGAAGAAAAAATTTTGCTAGGAAAAACGTAAACAAGTTGCACCTGTGTGACGTCATGCAAACAACGATTCTGTCAAATTCGTTAAGAGAGGAATAGCGGTCCGAGATCGGCGCAACCTTTGTATTCTCTCAATCGTGTGAACAGAGTACTATTTTGCGGAGGAAATGTGGCGGAACTTCAAATTTATTTCACCGAAAGGATTTTTATATGCAATTTGACAGTTCTTTCACGTGAAACGGTAATATAATACTATGCTTTACAAGTAAACTTTTTGAGCGATTGCGTTATTTAAAGGAAATTGAAAGCATTTTGTAGATAAATAATATAATAAACCAAATTAATTTTTTATTATGTTCAAGTAAATTTTATATACATATATAAATTCAGTTACAAACTCAAATCTTTTTCGCATGCATCATATGCTACCCCAATACCGAATCCAGTTCCCATTATTGAAGGCCAAATTTTCCTTTTCAGCATGCAAAAAGACAAAGCAAATCCAAGGAGAAACCCGCTGGCTAAAAAAAGAAAGAATTACATTGTAATTTTTAATTTATTTTAAGTATTTGTAAAAGCATATTGTAGGGAGTCTCTTTACTAAAAGATAGATAGTTGCAAACAACATCATTTTAAATATTTTCTACTATTTTATCGATCACTACTATGTAGTACATATACTGATGATCAAAAGTGCATGGTGACTTTTTTAATATACTTAATGCTTTTCAAGTTAAATTTTTTTTGATAATATGGTTTATGCTTTAACCAAAACCACATAAGTCAAACCTTATACAGAATTTAGAGAGATCCAACAAATTTTCATCAAAATTCTGAACTTTGTAGTCCGAATTTTGACAAAAATTTTTGGGTATATTGTTACGCGGCTTGAAGTTCTAGTAAAACAGGTGCAAGTCTTAAGTCGAGTTTATTTGCTGACGGCTGTTGCGATTTGTTTTCATATAACAAGTGCGTTGATTTTTTAAATTTTTTTGCAAACGGTCTTGCGCATCTTGTTCTACAAGAAATTCACGTTTATACCGTAAAAAGTGTAAAGCGCCACCAGCAAAAAATTTTAATCTACGCGATTTTAAGCCACTTAAAACTTTACATGTTTTTGAAGAAAATGTTTGAGATTTTTCTTAAATCTGTATAGTTTGACTTATGTGGCTTTGGTTAAAGCATGAACCAAATTTCAATATAAAAAAAAGGGAAGAACTTGGTTTGAAAAACATCAAAAATTTTACGAAAATCACCATGCACCATATGAATATATTTCTGGTTTCAAAAATTTTATATTTAAAATAATTTTTTTTTCCACGAAGAAAAATTATTTTTGATAACTAGTTTACAGCAAAAAAAAGAACGAGACCAATTCCCATGTAAAATCGGTCCCTGACTCCGAAAATCCACTTTTTCTTTCATGTAGTTTTCGAGATATCACCACATAACGGGTTTCGATTTGGCCATAAAAATTTCTATGTCCGGATAATCTGTCCAACGATTAAAACAATATATCAGATGAAAGGTAACTAAATTTGCTATCTTTCCTTCATAATTTATTTAAGTTACACGTTTTCCAGATATTTACAAAGATCTCAGAAGTTTTTTTTACAAAAATTAGAAATATTTCGATTTATATTTAAAAAAAATATAGGAGAGACGTTCGAAAATGGTGTTGTAAATAGAGATGCGCGCGTGAGTAATTTTTGCTCACGTTCACGCAAGTTCTCGTTGATGGTTTAGTAAATCACGCACACTCACGTCCTGCTATATTTTTTTCAACCACGTTCCCGCACGCTCACGACGCCTATTTTTTCATTCACGCACGCTCCCGCACGGTTTCTCACGGACTTTTTTTTCAAATTGAAACTTAAATTATATAAATAGCATTTCATATAAATAGGCTTTTATCACACAAGTATTATTACAAAACCTTGGCCAAACGCCTAGCAAGGGCTGATATACTTATGTATCTAATACGAGTAAAAAAAGAATTGGTATCAATATAGCTTCTTCCAGAATTCTTCCTGACACAGAAAAAACTCTTTTACTAGTTGCTGAGCTAGCTGGTATGTTTAAAATTTGCCTTGAAAGACTTCTAAGAAGTGGTAAATCTTTAGCTTTCTCCCAAAGTTTTAAAACATCGTCACAACTTTTGCTATCAGATTTTTTCAAATAAATCTGTATTTCCGTATTAATTTTTTCAAAAACTGTTTCTGCAGATTCATTTATTCCATCTTTAAATTTGTAAAAAGTTGCACAGGTTTTTGCCCTTTTCGAGGTAGAAGGAATGTCATCGTGCAGAATTTGGAAATCGTGCTGAGGGCGAGCGCTCTTTTCTTCAAGTGCATTTCTACCTAAGTTATCTTCAAGCATTGCCTTTACTGTCGCTCTTAAAACTGTAACTTTTTAAACGGAGGATTTAAAAACAATCTCAGAAATTGGACTGAACTTGGTTGGAATCTTTTATTTAAAGCAACAGCTGTGTTTTTCTTCAAATCGATAATGACTTCAGAGTCAGATGCATTCACCTAACAATGCTTTTGTAGTTTTTTGTACCACAGAACGTGCTCATAGATGGTTGGATTTAAATCTGCGCTCAAATTTTCAGAACACATCTTGAAAGGGACCAGAAATTCTAAAAAAATTTCCAATAAATTTGAATTTACTCTAGATAGTTTATGAAGCTCATTTCTTTCCATTAATAATTGTTGAACTGCTTGCCGCATTTCGTGAATGCTGGACACCGTTATTGCGAATGTCGACTGGCGATTATCGATTATCGATGCTATTGTCGCAAAATTAGCGACTGTGAATACTTTTTAATCGCTCATCCTTCTATTGCTGTTTTTTAGTGGTTGGAGTTTGCGTTTATAAGGTTTACATAAGAAAGTGGTACTATAATGGATAAAAGTAAGTCAATTGAACTGGAAGTTGAAAAAATTGTGAAATATACATATGTATGTCTCTGAATTGCAGATCAAAAATTGTAAGCAACAAAAGGCAACTTGCGTGGTTGGTCGAGCTGATGCAGGAGAATGAGGGCATAGGCAAAGGAATTTTCGGAGAGAGTAGGGGCGGACGCTCCGCTTCTATTGCGAAAGATATACAATATTTCTTGTAGATATAACTCCAGCTGCGCCATCCACTGTGTTTTTGAGCAGAGCCAACATCAAGGTTTACAAAAAACTGCATACTTTATTAATTAACTAGCGCTCGGAAATTTTAAATCTTTATTTTAAACTAGAGTTTAATTCTTTCATTAGACTTGTATGTTAAAGTTTTTAAACTCGGGTCACGCGTTTGGACACAAATACCCAACATCATTGTACAAATAACTAAACCGTACCATATTTTTTAAACTTCCATAAAGTTTATTAATGAGGAAAACAGCTTTTCCTGCAAATCCTGTAAAACCTACAAACCGTGAAGCATCTGGAACGCAACTTCTATTCATAAAATTCACATATGTACATACACTGCATCTTCCAACTCCAAGGGATCCGACGAATCTCGCAATTTCCTCCTTGCTGGGCCTGTTCGAGGCACGTAAAAAAAGCGGCATTACTGTCGTACTGATGAAAAATGGCAACATTGTTGCAACTGCCCAACTGATAATACATTGCTAGAAATTCACACAGAACGTGATACTTTAACAATTCGCGCAACACTGCGATTGTGATTGCAACTCGAACAAGCCCCATATTTCAGCTGTATCCATTTCTTAAATTTTATAATAAAAGCAATTATTTTAATAATGATGTAAATGAAACCTAAAGAAACAAATGTAAAAAACAAACAGCTGTTTACAATTCAGTCAACTATTCACAATAGTACAAATTTTCATCGATCAAGTTACACAATAGCAAAATAAAAGATGATCGACTCGATCGAAAAATTTCTATTTTAATGCCAGTCGACACTCGCAATAGGGGCCTTAAGGTCTTTGATAGTTTGTTATTGAGTTCGGTATGTTTAAAATAGCCTACATGCTTTTTTGAAGCGTCTATCCATTCATATTCTTCCACAAGAAATTCATGTTTATATGGAAAAAAGGGCAAACGCCATCAGCGAAAAAAAATATTAAAAATCAATGCGATTTTATAATAGCCGTGTTTTATTTGTCCAGAAATTTAAGCTATTACCTTATTTTGTATGGAGGACTTACACAACATAATTATATTGGCTTATGAAAAGCTATCTTGGCTTGTATATTGAACAAGAGGCATTGCCATTCAGCATCAGACATTTTCTCCTTCAGCCAATCAGAAAGAGGCAAAAACTTACTTTGACACTATTTGCAGTCAAACAACTGTCAAATTTAGGCTAACATAGGAAATAAGCTAATTTGGTTTTATTTGACCAAGATTTAGCTATTTGCTTGTGAAGGTTGAATAAAACATGCCTAATATAATAGAATTTTATAAGCTTGTTGCATGCCCAAAAAAATCTAAAAATTCTGGTTAAGAAGCTCGAAACTTAGATAAAAAAAATTGGAATTTTTCTAAGTTCTGTATAAAGTTTGAAAGTGTGATTTATAAAATCAAAAAAATTATAGTTTGAAAAACATTGTAAATATTAAAAACTGAAAACCATTCATCCATTTTTGACTGCCACTGTAGATACATATGTGAAAATTACGTGATTGACGAAAATCTAACTCATGCGCACTCACCCAAGCAAAAATTTCAGTCACGCACGATCACGGATAATACCTGATTTTTGACTGAAATCCGCTCACGCTCACGTGTGAAAAAGTGTGACACGACGTGCCACGTAGAAATTCACGTCTTTTGCCCATCTCTAGTTGTAAAGTTTGAGCCTATTGTGGGCAGGAGACCAGTAAATAAAAGTCCGGTTCTTCTTACTTATACGAGATTTTATTTTCAGTAGCAATTCGTGTCTTTAGCTTACGAAATCGCGTACCGAAGTAGTGGATGGCGATTGCCGAAGATACAGCATTAATCGATATATGTGAATTAACGCTAAAGGACCCATTCACATTGGTGAGCCATCCTTTTTTAAGTCGGACGGATTTCGTAAAAAAAAATTATGTCATGGCTCCGATTCGCTTCAAATTTTTTTATGGGTTCTATACGTGAAATAAGCTGACACGTGTTCGAGGATTTTTTAAAATTTTTTTTCTGCGGAGATATGATCTGTCAAAGTTTGCATTTTGTCGTGATTCTGACTAATCATGTTCTTCTTCAATTCGTCAATATCTCGGGTTCTGCTCATCGCAGAGACTTCATCTTAACGTCGTTTTAAAGCTAAAGAAACGGGCTTAACATTTCTATATACTTGCCCTAACCAATATTACTTCATTCACTTGGACATTTTTGTACACCGCTATTTTTATAGATTTTTCATAAGTAGGGTGTGGATCTTTTTATAAGCTAATTATGTTTTCTTAGATAGCTCGATTTATCAGTTTTAGAACAAACTAAGAAAAATTAAATTTTTNCTATTACTTCATTCACTTGGACATTTTTGAACACCGCTATTTTTATAGATTTTT